CCGGTACCGAGAAGGTCAGCGCAGGCGCAGTATATCCCAAGGGTGTGATGCACAGAGACCACGAAGAAGATAGTTGTGTTCTTGCTGAATCACTCTCCGACTCCTTTGTTAAGCGAGCGACTTAACAGGTTTCCAGCTGGGCCTGGAGAAGATAAAACTGCTACTGCCCTTTTAGCGGAGGCTGGAGCTACAGAAGTCAGCAAGGGGAACTTCTTGAAAGGAAATCTCCTTGCTGGTGAATTGTGGTTGATCAAAGAAACTGCTGGTTTAAGCCACAGCTAGAGGGGCACCTAGTGGGCAGGCAGAAGATTCAAGACAGATGAAGTATTTCTGCTGCTGCATAATTGTGGGATTCACTACCACCTGGTATGCTGATGGCCTTAAACCAGGATTAGAAAAGTTCATGAAGCCATCAATGGCCAGGCCAGTTTAATGGAACCTCCATGTTCAGAGGGAGTTGCTAGCAGGCAACATCACCAGGAAACTTTGCCCTCTGGCCCCTGTTTTTGGACCTCTTAGGTTACCCAGTTGGTGTCAGTGAGAAACAGGATGCTGGAAATAGATAGCCTTTTGGTCTGATCTAGTAGGGCTTTACTCATGCTTTAGAACAGAGGTGTCGAACTCATTTGCAATGACAGCCGGATCTGACATAAATTTCACTTTGTCAGGCCGGGCCATGTGTGCCATAAACAGAATGGCAGGTACTGGAGACTGTATGAAGGATAGCAGCTGGTAAGCTCCAACTTTGTGTATCCTCACTGCAAGGCCCCATTGCGAAGGAAAACCCATCTGCGCAGACTGGAGAGCCAGTGGTGCAGTACTGGGCAGACGTTCCCATGCTGCTTGATGGCTGCTGCAGACGAGGTTGTTCCGCCATGCTGAAGCCACAATAGGAGTGGCTTCCCCCACACCCCCACCCCCCAAGCACACCCCTCCCTTGCGCTAGCTGCTCACGGGCTGCATAAGAGCCCTGGGTGGGCCGGTTGCGGTCCTCGGGCCTTATATTTGACACCCCTGCTTTCGTTCAAATTGTAGCAACCCTAGGTCAGATGCCCACTATAGATAGGTTGCACTCGCTGGTAGAACACATGTGATTTTAGGAGTTGTTGTTGTTCAGTCGCACAGTCGAGTCCGACTCTTTGCGTAGCATAATAGAAATGAAGAGGTGAATGTTTTCCTTTTTACACCATGATGATTCATTGATGAGGCACACTGTACTACTGGTGTGCCGTACTTTCCCCATGTGTTGTTCTACATTCAGTGGGATTTTGTTGTTATTTCTCTTATTGCATTTGGTCATTCAGTTCTGTTGGACTTGCAAGGCCACAAATAGATTTCTCCTCCTCCTCCCATTCCTTTGGAAAGGAATGCACAGCTGTGCAGCGCAGGTATTAAAGGTGCAGCCAAAACTAGGAAATCCCCCACCTTAACAACGCTGATTTTCTGTTCCTAGTGTGCCTTCTCTTAGCAGCTAGCACACAAACATCTGCAAAAAATATGAATCCTTTCTAGGCCCCAAATTTGGCAGTGCAACACCCCCCCTCCCGTTCCTTATGTTATTCCCCCCCCCCCCACACACACACACACAGACATGCTGAGGCAGAACCGGCCTAATGTCAGAAGAATACAGGTGAGGTTTCTGAGCAGCCACCAGCCCTCAGACACATTTAAAGCCAGTTTTCAGCAGTTCTCACAGAAGTGCGGGTGTTAATTGCCTTGGCAAGACCCAGCCTGAAGGGCTCGGAGTTTTGCATCATACTTGGATAGGAAACGCACTTGAGTGTGTGAGAGAACCGAGACATCATCATCGCATACTTCCAGACGTGGTGAGAGAATATGAATGTTCACAGGGCCGATGGGGGAACAAGCATCTTTGACAGATTCCTGCTTTGCTTTTTTTTTTGCTGATAGAACGTTTAGGGTTGCCAGCCTCCAGGTGGGACCTGGTGAGTTCCCGGAATGACAACAGACCTCCAGACCACAGAGATCAGATGTCCCGGAGAAGATGGCTGCTGCAATGGGTGGGCTGTGTGGCCTTACACTGCTGAGGTCCATTCCCAACCCTGCTGTTCCCAGGCTCCACCTAGGGTTGCCAGCCTCCAGGTGGGGCCTGGGGATCTCCCGCTTTTTCAGCTGATCTCCAGCCGACAGAGATCAGCTCCCCTGGAGAAAATGGCTGCTCTGGAGGGTGGACTCCATGGCATTGTACCATGCTGAGGCCCCTCCCCTCCCCAAACCCTGCCCTCTCCTGGATCCACCCCCAAAGTTTCCAGGTATTTTCCAACCCAGACCTGGCAACCCTAGCTCCACCCTCCAAAACTCCAGGAATTTCACAATCTGGAGTTGACAAGCCTGGGGAGGGAGCACTCCAAGGCAAACTCCTCACCCGCAGTCAGAAGCAACCGTCGAGTGGCCGTTCCAGTATCTCCCTCTGAAGCCCTGGGCACCCACCTGAGGATCGTCTAGCAGATTCCCACTGGGCTCCCTTGCCACACCCAAAGTGTATGTCATTTTGAGTATAAAACTTCACGTGCTTCCTCATGTCGCTCAGAAAGCAGTCCATTTTTGATAGGCTATTTTGGCTGAACTGTTTCCCAGTATTTCAATTGCAATTAGATATCTAAAGAACTCTTCCCATCCTCACAGAGACTTCTCTTGCATGTTCTGTTATTGACCTGAGAGCACGCAAGCAGGGATTCGTAGAACAAAAGGCAGCCTAAGTCACATGACTCGTCCAGGTCTGTGCCCTCCCCCAATGACCAAGACCCTAGAAATCCTATCAACTTAGTCCCTCCCCCCCCCATACGACTCTGCTAGAGCCATTTGCTGTCCAACCAGCAACGGATGGTGTTGAGAAAGTGTGGAGAGCCTGACGCTTGAGAACCTTTCGGAGAGGTTAGTTCCGATCTCATCTCTGAAGTCTCTGGCAGAGCATTTTACAGGCCTGTCCTTCCCACAGAGATTGTCAACACCTCCTTATCATCCCAGCTGATCGTCTTTTGCCGCCTTCAGTAAACATCTTAATTTAAGCCCAAGGATCAGACCCAGAACGTGCGTGCATGTCAGGACTCAACTCTTATGTATGAAGTCATCACAGGAGGCTACATTCCCTTCCATTGTTGCCACTGTTTTTACTGAGCCCATTTCTTGTGTCAGTCTATCAGCAGTTCAACTTTCAGATGTGTGTCTCTGTCAGGAGTTCATCTTGCAGAAGGCTTAGGAAGTGGAGCTTTCCCCGAAGCTCTACCTGCTGAATTCCTGCATGGTCAGGCAGCAGTGTAAAGTCCAGGGCCAGTAAATGAGGCTGCAGGTCTCCCCCTGAGAAACTCACCTTTGTGCCACTGGAATTTTCCCCCCCCTGACCAATTGGCAACCATGTTCTAGACCCGCTAAATGAATGTCCTGCATGATTAGTACTGAAAAATTCAAACATGAATTTGTGCTGGGTGGGAAGGAACATTATATGCACGATGTTGTATCGGGTCTGGCCCCAGTCTTTGCTGGCTTTTCACAGGGGGGAAAAAAATCTGAGTTTCTTTGCAATGTTGTTTTTATTCACCTGCAGTTTTACACCTTTAAGTCCATTCCAGTGGAGGACTGTTTTAGCTATGCACACACAAAGAAACTACAATTGATACGTGGTATACCACAAATTTTAATAATGCAGCGTTAACTGCATCACAAAGCTGCCTGTCTTTACTCATGCAGGTGACAAACAGCACAGTATATTGTGGGCAGGGGCTTCAGGAGAGAAACACATTAATGATGATTCTATTTATTTATTTATTATATCAAATTTATACCCCGCCCTCCCCGCTGGAGCAGGCTCAGGGCGGCTTGCATGGGGGGGGGGAAGCCCTGTCCTTTTAATAAAGCTTAAGGCGTGGAAATGAGAAGCTGAAGCTTTGCATGGCACAGGGGTAAATAACACCATCATGTAAACAACACCCCCTTAAGCCTCTCTTAAAGGGAGAGGACCCTTTCTCTCCAGGAAGTTGGGAACGCCTTATGAGGAGGGCAGGCAAAGGAGTCTTCCCACTTCTTCCTCAAGTGGTGCCTGGCTAAAGTTTAGAGACTGACTGGCATCAGGGACAGATGCGACTTTTCTTTGCCATCTAGGCATGCCAAACTCCAGGCAGGACAACCTGGGGATCCCTTCTCATCTCCAGACTACAGAGATAGGCTCTTCTGGGGAAAATGGATGCTTTGGAGGGTGGACTCAAATCTCCAGGAGTTTCCCAACCTGGATCTGGCAACCCTATCTCTATCTGCCATCCCCTGCCAATGGCCAGGGGGGACCTGGGAACCCTACATGATCCACCCCAGCCTAAATATATACCCTGTTAGCACAAAAAGAAAAAAAGATACATAAAAGATGGTACGAGCATTTAAGGAATAATTTCACCATGCACTTCAGTGCTGCTCAGTGAACACTACTTTATAGTTCAAGAGCCACTTTCATTACTCCCTTCCAACATTTAAAACAGCATGAAGAGTACATCAGACACTGCGAAGGGAGTAGGAGCAGTATGATCCTTGTCTAGATGGTTTTAAGCAAACAGTAGAGGGTGGTATCGGAGATTTATTCCTTACATTTATTTAAATCTTTATATCATATTCCACCTTTCCCTTGTGGCTCCCAGTTGATAAATGAATGGCAGGGATCACAAGCCGAGTCATTACAGTCCCTTCATACACTGTCTGCTGCAAAATCGTACCACAGACACAGAAGACATCGGCTTAACCCATTCGTTGCATAGATTCAGCAGTATAAGCGGGAAATCAGCAGTTCCTCTCCAAGGCCTGGCAGCTACCTGCTAATGCAGTTCATCTCTTGTCCTGAAGTCCTCTGCCCTACCAGTTGGATATCTTGGTGGTTACCAGGATAAGATTTTCCCAGGGTGCTGTGCAGCTGATCCGAAGGTTTTGCCCTTAGGCAAAACCAGTCACTCTTCAATGATGTGGTCCAACCAAAGTCTCTTCTGAAAACTCATGGTGGCTAAGTCAAGACCTGGAATCTGTTTTCAGTTTCAGGATTCAGTCATGGAAGATGTGAAGAAGTCACCAAGAAAAGGGGCAATCCAAACATACAGAGAATGTAATTTCCTCCTTGCTAGGAACTACGGCCCATAATGTCCTGAAGACTGGAGTTCTGGCATGTCTCTGTTGCTTTAGAAAGATTAAAGCACTGTAGAGAGGATTCTCTCTAACTCTTGCAGCTCCATTCTGAAGGGCGGATCTTCATACTTGGGTACAGGCCCCTCCTCCTCAGAATTTGGCTCTCCTCCATGCCATAGTCTGTTCCAGAGAAGACGGCTCCTCCAGGGTCTTGACTCTCGTCTCTTGGCAAGCTGAGTGGAGGGGCTTCGTATTGAATGTTCAGATGGAAATGTGGGTCTGGGAGGGCATCAGATCAGAACCATATTAGCTGTGGATTGGAAAAGGAAAATATAAACAGGTGGTTTGCATTTCTGCGTGCTTTCCACAGAATTGTAGCCCAGAAATCTACACTATATGTAGTTTCAAGCTTCTCTTAAACCTGTTTCTCTCTTCACAGAATGCTGCTGCTGGGATGGGGGTTTGAAGGAGGAGACCCGCAAAAGAGGGAGAGGGGCTGAGTAACCTATTCCCCATTACCCTGCCGAAAATCATTACCTCCCCCAGCTGCTTTGCAGCCCAGTGGGAGTAGGGTTATCAACCTTCAGGTGTTCTGGAATTGCAGTGGTACACACCATAGAGTTCTGGGAGAAATGGAGCAACGTCATTTCCTCACTGAGCCCTCTCTGGCCAGGCTGCCCTTCCCAGGCACCATACCCAAATCTCCAGGAATTCCCCAAGCTGGAGCCGGCAACCCTAAGTGGAAGGAAAATCTAACTATATGTATATTTTCTCCAGCAGCATGAAAAGCAACTGTGAGAGGGGGCAATTTTTAACCAGGAAAAAAGGCCGATGATCAAGGCTTAGACATCATGGTGCCAGTCTTCCACCTCAAATACAGATATATAGGGGGCAGCTCTGTGTAGGGCCGCCAACCTCCAGGTGGTAAAAAAAACAACAACCAAGAAGGGATCACAGCTATAGGAAATGCAGCAAACAAACAAACACATGTGATATAGATGACAACACATGTGATATAGATGACAACACATGTTAAGTTAGCATGTGTTGTCATCTATATCACAGTGTTTGTT